CATGGGATACACTCAAATTGTGCAATAATTTTGACAAAGCAGTCAATAATTCTTATACCTTTATTTCAGCTGTAATTAAGGATGTTGTCCCAATGGTTAGACCAAGGTGCAATGGTTCGATGCTGAACTCCATTGCCACATTATATTTCCTTACTTTACGTTATTGTATTCTGTATGTTATTTTTCTAAACTTGTATTTCATTAGGGTCATTTATCATACTTTCTTTTTAAATTGTTTATATTTAGTTCAGTTTGTGTTTCTTTGTTAAAGGGGCAGTTTGCCCTTTAAGGTTATAAAGATTCTTTTCTTTTTACATGTCCCTAACCAGCAGCAGGCCCAAACGGCTGACGGCTAACAGGTACGATATCCTGCGAAAGCATGTACCTGCCTGTCTCTTATACACATCTAGATGTGTATAAGAGACAGACATAATATTAAGAAAACACCCAACTTATAAAACGTATTCAATTTCACTATAACAATAGATTTGTGATTTTACCTTGTACTGTATTGTTTACGGCCAATTTGATGCTAGGAGGTTCAAGCCTACTTTATTATTATCAAGACTGTTAATAAATCATAGGCCAGACAGGGCCTACCTTACAATTTAGACTGTATACGGTATTATGTTTGGCCATTATGCCAATAATTATAGCTATCGGTAGATTTCCCGTTGGTTTATAATCTGGTGGTACTGGGGAGGAACAACTTCCTGCTCCACAACAAGACATCAATTTATAGAAGCCTTAAAGAAGAAAGCCTACAAAAGTGGCCTAGATTGGCACAAGACCAGCTGACTTTGGCTTTGAATATAGAAAAATTTAAACACATTAATAGAGCATAAAATGTACACAGTGTTCAGGTAAAAATTTGTAAGTTTATGTAAGTATTATATTAATAGTTTAGGTTGTATTATTTGCTCAAAACTTAAATCAAAATCTTTTATGTTAATAAGTTATATAAATTTAGTGTTGAAGTATTACATTAAGAAATAGAATGAAGGAATAATAGCAGAGATACCCGGAGCGGCTCAAATTGGTACCGAAAATGATATAATATTTATAATTAGTAAATGTTAGCCACATATCATCAGAGGTGGCGCTGAGCCTATCACGTTACATAATTAAATACTGTCTCTTATACACATCTAGATGTGTATAAGAGACAGCTGCAACCTTGGGGTCTCCTGCTCCTTGTCAATGAAACCATTAAACAGCATTTGACCACTTGGATACTTCAGTTCAATTTCGGATATTTTACAAGATTTAGTTACATCTTTAGTAAACCAGTACAGTATTAGTACTGTACACTACTTATCTAGGTATGCCTTTTAGCTGTACTTTACATTTACATCGCATGATGTGACACCTAAAACCGCCAATAAAACTTATGGTGGAAGATCATTTACACTTTGGAAAAAACTTCCAGATCACATCAAAAACGCTGACTCTGTTGAATCATTTAAAACATTTTTAAAAACTCACCTTTTTTTGACCGTTTATTGTGGGTTTTCAGGTGTGGTCTCACCTTTTCCTTACTCAAGGTAATGTCGTTGTCTCGGCAGCGCACGGTAGTGGAGCCGGAGCCCAGCATCCTGCCTTTTGTGGATTACATGCGTGTAAATTGCCTGATTGAGACAGCGACGTTACTTTGACATCGGTGGGTGAGACCACTTGAATGTCACCATCTCCTGCATTGCTGCTTTATGTTGTTGTTAAGCGCCTAGAGGTTATTAACATTAGGAGCTATGTAAATATTGATTAGTAGTATTATTATGATAATCATATAAATATCACATGAGCACATGCAACTTTACTTTAAACTCCTAGCTCACCTTCCAGCGTATGGTGATACTTCTTGTATTACCTTTGTCGTAAGTCTCGAAAGTTGCATCAACTTGTCTCCCTGGCTCTAAATCATTTAAAAGAAATTCATGTAATAATTCAAATCAAAATGTATTCTTCCTTTGTAACATAAATATAGAACAGAAAAATTAAAGATTAATCTTTTTCAAAATTATATATTAATAACACATACAGTCCTAATAATAAAACATTATCCGGGCACAGGGGCGAATGCAGGGGTTTTGCATTAGTTGCCTTGATAACATGTCATCAAAAAAAAAATATAGGCCTACATAATATTAAGAAAACACCCAACTTATAAAACGTATTCAATTTCACTATAACAATAGATTTGTGATTTTACCTTGTACTGTATTGTTTACGGCCAATTTGACGCTAGGAGGTTCAAGCCTACTTTATTATTATCAAGACTGTTAATAAATCATAGGCCAGACAAGGCCTACAATTTAGACTGTATACGGTATTATGTTTGGCCATTATGCCAATAATTATAGCTATCGGTAGATTTCCCGTTGGTTTATAATCTGGTGGTACTGGGGAGGAACAACTTCCTGCTCCACAACAAGACATCAATTTATAGAAGCCTTAAAGAAGAAAGCCTACAAAAGTGGCCTAGATTGGCACAAGACCAGCTGACTTTGGCTTTGAATATAGAAAAATTTAAACACATTAATAGAGCATAAAATGTACACAGTGTTCAGGTAAAAATTTGTAAGTTTATGTAAGTATTATATTAATAGTTTAGGTTGTATTATTTGCTCAAAACTTAAATCAAAATCTTTTATGTTAATAAGTTATATAAATTTAGTGTTGAAGTATTACATTAAGAAATAGAATGAAGGAATAATAGCAGAGATACCCGGAGCGGCTCAAATTGGTACCGAAAATGATATAATATTTATAATTAGTAAATGTTAGCCACATATCATCAGAGGTGGCGCTGAGCCTATCACGTTACATAATTAAATATATACACTGTATAAAAAAAATAGATCGGACGGCCGTAGAGGAGGAGGAATACTGCTACTTATTGATGCAAATATACAATCATAACGTCTCCATCAATACGAACAGGATGGTATGGAATGCATGTTTATTGAGGTATCTCTTACCAGAAGAAAAAAATCATAATTGAACTTTGTGTACATGCCTCTGAAATTGAGCATTGGGAAGTTTAAACAACTTTATTGGACACTTAAAGCTGCTAATCTTATAACAAAATATTGTTGATAGGTGACTTCAACTTACCAGGCATCAAGTGGTCAAGATATACGCCTCCCATGACGAATAACAACATTGAACAATTTTTTATTGTCTCTATTTTAAACCATTCTGTTTATACCAGTGTAATTATTCAAAAAAATCACGGTAATAACATACTAGATTTAATTGTAAGTAGTCGAAATTTTACTACATCTGTTTCATGTGAAAATTACATTTTTGACTCTGATCACAGTTCTATTTGCTTTTAACTTTTAATTTTCCAAATGTTTCATGGTCAGAATCAGATGAAAACAGATTACTATTTAACTACAAATAAATGGATAAAAATAATTTAATTAATACACTATCTCATGTGTCATGGGATACACTCAAATTGTGCAATAATTTTGACAAAGCAGTCAATAATTTTTATACCTTTATTTCAGCTGTAATTAAGGATGTTGTCCCAACGGTTAGACCAATTTGCAATGGTTCGATGCTGAACTCCATTGCCACATTATATTTCCTTACTTTACATTATTGTATTCTGTATGTTATTTTTCTAAACTTGTATTTCATTAGAGTCATTTATCATACTTTCTTTTTAAATTGTTTATATTTAGTTCAGTTTGTGTTTCTTTGTTAAAGGGGCAGTTTGCCCTTTAAGGTTATAGAGATTTTCTTTTTAAATGTCCCTAGCCAGCAGCAGGCCCAAACGGCTGACGGCTAACAGGTACGATATCCTGCGAAAGCATGTACCTGCTGTAGGTCTCTGTGTACACATATGACATATCTGGCTAACATTTAACAATTAAGAATTCATTTTCAATCTTTACTGCAGAAAATAACAAATTTTATATTGAGTAGGCCTACATTTTTTCTTTTAAACCGTCAATAAATCGCAAGAGTGTTGGGGACTCTAACTTGATGTACGCAGTGCCGTGCGTAACTATGGCATAGTCGGTTTTTTGTTAGATATCTCTTTGTGCGTCGACAATTTGTTAATAAAATATGCTGCGCATTGTCAGACGTAAGACTTTTTATAAGTAAAGCATCATGCATTATTCTGAAAGTGCTCGTCCACAGACAAGTGTCAATAAAATTCTTGTTGTCTGATCGTAAAAAAACACTTGTTCTGGGCATCGGGCAAGTGGGTTCGCTCATGTCTGCGTATTTAGTGAATTAAATTGCATTGCTTGCAAAATTTTATTGTAATGATCTTCCAATACTGTACTGCTTTTAAAACTTTACATATAAAGTAAGTATATAATATTGTTATACTTACTTGCTTCATCAGTGGTATAATATGCAGATTCTGACCAATTGCTAAAGTTGACATACTGTCTAGCTCTCACTTGTGCCATGTACTCAACAAACGGCTCCATAGGGTATGATGAAAAACGATATTGTGTGTCTTCTTTAATATCCGTTTTTGCCGGTAACTATGAAGAGAATCAAAATCCAGTTACCATATGCACAACACTATGTCTAATGTTTCAAATAGTAATAAGGAACCCCTATTATTTGTATGTATATAAATGTTAATTAACAATCACAATTGAATGAGGCTGAAGACTGAATCAATAATATTAATTGTTGTTGGACCAGGTGGGTAGTAGATTGTGTATTTTTATAGTAAGAATGTATGGTATTTATTGTTAACCGGAAATAAATAAAACAAAATGAGTATCTTTTAAATCTTTGTGATCAATATTAATTCATCTATGACAAATATTTATGATTTGCCCTTATATGTATGGGTAGGATAGAATTATCACACCCATAAATGGGCTTATCACACAAATATGTCATATCTAATTAGTAAAACAAAATGAGTGCCTTTCTTTGTGATCAATATTAATTCATCTATGACAAATATTTATGATTTTGCCCTAATATGGTAGGTAGGATGGCATTATCACACCCATAAATGGGCTATCACACAAATATGTCATATTTTAATTTACCTCTTCCCATACACTATTGCTGACAGCCTTGTAACGAACTTTGTATTTCAGCATATGGGCATTATAATCAAAATAGCCCCGAGGATAATTCCAACTAAGAAGCAATTCTCCATTCTTATTCTTCATTAGTTTAACACCAGTAGGGGGGTAAGGAATTCCTGCATACAAAATTATAAATATATTAATATACAAATTATTATTATTATTAATTACATCAATACATATTTCTCCTGAGAATTCAACCCTGGCCATCAGGCGCAAGCTTGGTGGTCTAGAGGTATGATGCCATGCTAGTGATCGTGGGTTCGAGTCTCACACGAGAACAACTTGCCATTTTTTCCCCAAATGTTTTCAAACATATTGAGTATTCAGTACATTTCCACGTAAGGTAGGGCAAATTACACCTATACAATAATAATAATAATAATACAGTAATAAAAATAATAATAATAATATAATAACAATAATAACAATAGCAATTCAATCAAAAATACTATAAATATCTGAAAATAAAACCTACTTATTAATATTAAATAACAATATAAAGTACCATACAATACAATAATATTATTCCATCAAAGTTCATTTAAAACCAGTTTATTACATTTGCACACATTTACTTGACTGATCTGCTTGGGCTGGAGATAAGTTTTTTGTTTTGATTTTTATTGTTACAACTTGTACCCGCTTTCTTTTTTTGTGTGTTTTTCTGTTTATATCCTGTTATTGGCATTTGATTGCTTTTCATTTCATTTCATTTATTCGTCTCAAAAATACAATTCACATAAAATATCATACACAAAAAAGACAGAAAGACAGGAAATCCAAAAAGAGAACTAAATCAACTGTCAAGTGGATTACCTGTTGGTTATGGTTTTTGAAATAAAGAAATTAATAAAGAAATAGGATTTAGAGAGGTATGTTGAAGTGGAGAATTTTTATATATATTTGAACAAACCCCCTTTCTCCTACTGGCGCTGCCACTGTTGCTTCCACTGTTGCTATCAAGGCAGTGGCATATCTAGAAGTCTTGAATTGGGGGACTGATGGGGGGGCGTGAAGGTGAAGTGGGGGGCTCGATGGTCAGTTAAGGGGTGCTAATTCGCAAAATATGGTGATTTTTAACTACTTGACCGTGATTTTTTTTGGGGGGGGGGGAGTTGGAGAAGGCGCGAGTAATTTTTTTTTGGGGGGGTGGCCCCCACTAGAGTGTACTCTTTCTCTCATACACCTAACTTTTATGCAGGCGTCACTTTGAAGCCTGGACCCACCCTCCTCAAGTCATCACCTTTCTTCACCTGAACAAATTATTCATAATGTCAGGATTTCACAATCACTTCACTTGATTCACCAAAAATATAGGAAAAGTATCACTCTATCTGAAAATTTGTTAGTACAGGTTTCACCCTTTGACTTTTTTTCATAGAGTGAAGCTTCACATTTTAAGTTTTTGGTAGCTCTGAAGGTTCACCACTGTTTCATCATACTGGCCATCTGCATAGTTGAAGCTTCATCACTGTTTCACAATATTGGCCATTTGCATAGTTCAAGCTTCACCTTTCAAAAGCTTCACCAATGGTTACTTATTACTAGATGAAGACTGCAAATCATAACATCTGTAATCCCACACTACTCAAAAAGTATGAAGTCAACCAGGTTTGAGATAGATACGGTGACATATTTTTATTTTTATAAAACTTTAATAAAAAAATCGATTTGTGGAAAAGGAGTTAGTTTAGTTTGGTTGGGCCTTGAAAGACAGGCAATCAGTAATTTTCCTGGTTATTTGATTGAAAATTACATAGCAATAATAGTCACAAAAGAAATGTTATATACTAATGAACATTATATATTTTTGATTACATTTCTGTTGGCCTAAATAATTTTTTGGTTGGCCGAAACACCCCGTTACTCAACAATTATATTATGACAACATGCATACGAATCCCCAGGCATACACGACTTCATCGTGGGTGTCAGTGTCACTGAAAAAAAAAAAAAAAGAGCGTTCACAAAACGTCACTAGCTTCATGCAACTTACTGTCAATAAAATATGTCATTTTGAGTCTATCCAATTTCAAGTAAATAACCAAAATAAAATGCCCATAGAATGTTCGTATTTCGATGGGTCGACAAATTGGATAAAAATAATAGTATTTTCACTTACCAGAATTCTGACATTACGCCCCATGTTCATGACAACAACGCACATGTTCCGTATTTTATCTTGGATCTGTTTTACGGGATTTCGTCTTATGACGAAATGCTTCATTTAATTATTATATATTATTTTTAATTTGTATGCATTATAATACCAACATGTCAATTTATTTCACTATAATATTGCAATATTATGTTTTATAAAGTTAGTTAATGTAAAAAAAAAACACCTTCATCCCAGAATGGATCCATTCTAGTTGTTGCAGGGAAGCGTCATTGAGGAGAGGAAGACCTCGTTTTGACCTTTGGCCAGTCTTGAATTCTGGTCAAATATGTCGAAAAGTCTGTAAATATTCATAATATAATAAGCCTGTGTATATAATAATAATAAACCTAGGCCCAGTTTTTTCAGCAATCTATTATTAATTAATCAAAAATTACTTACTATTCTGCCATATATATTTTATTTATTTGGGACGAGATGGTTTTGAGACGAAGTAACCGCGGTCAGCACATACTACTGGCCTAAGAATGCGCTGCGCAGGTTGCCGACACGCTTCATGATTTCGTAGTAAACTTGGCCACCGAGCCGCGTGTAGCCTGAACAAAAACGAAACACATTGCCGTTCACGATAGTTGTTTGAAAACAATGACCCACGATGATTTCCACATTTTTTCGACGTGACCGATGTAGTGGATTCGATGTCACATCACCATAAAACACAAATTATTCGTCGAAGCTTCACACCATTCATGAACTTTAATAGGTATACATTCGATCTCCCATCACCAGAAAACGCAAATTACTCGTCAAAGCTTCACACCTTTCATCAAATTTGTAGGTAAAGCTTAACTCAATCAAGATAGAAGAACGTTAGGACTTCACTACAACAGCAAATTTATTGACCTTAGGCTTCGACGTCAAGTCGACGTCGATATTTGGCGACCTCTGAGGAGGGTAGGTCAGGCTTCGAAGTAACGCCTGCATTAGGCTTACACATCATGGAGCTAAATATTAATCAACAATGCTATTATATAGTACTCAAACATGAATATTTCTACCTGTCTTTCACTCTTTTTCAGCATGATATCAGTCATGCTGACAAATACCTGAGAACAAGTAAAAATATTCATGTTTAAAATAAAATAGTGTTCTACATATTTACTCGACTGCATCCTCTTCAATCGATACCTTACATTTATTTTGATGCGAGTTTATTGTATATACTTATGTCACATAGTAATGCCTCTCTATGTTTTGTAAATCTATAATATATAAATTTACAATATAATTTGGATGGCAAGCATCTTACCCACCAAGGTACAGCCCCAGTCTCCATCAACATTGCAGGATTTGAACCCAGGATCCTACAGTAGGATTGCAAGGCAAGCATCCATCCATGATTGATTGATTGATTGACTGAACAATCTTCAATATCATAATTCAATGTTGTATGACAAATAAAATGTAAAGCACTCTCCACATTATCATATTTTATGTGATTAATGTCTGTGATGTGCCCATATATGGGTATGATATTGACATATATGGGCATGATGTTGTCATATTATACCCAAATATGGGCATATTACATTTATTTGTCAGATGAAATTTGATAGTGTGGACATTACTTTACAAAATGTATGTGATACTCACTGATATAATTAAATGTCAAATTCTTTGTAACAGCCACACTTCCTAGAACATTGTAACTTAAAATGGTGAGACTGCATGTAGCTGCAGAATCTAGGGTTTCGCCCAAATTGCATGTGCTATTAGTTACCTTGCCAATTACTGTTGCACCTCTGTATAAAAAAATTGTGAAAATTTATATCAAGCAAACAGAATAGAACTGCAAGAGGCCCGCCCTCAGAATTTTGTTGGAACATAATCCTATTTCAAAAAGTACTACCACAAAATAGAGGGCGCCTTTCAAAAGGCATGTTTCAAACTTTATTAGAATTCTAATAGGGCGCCCCTATCTTGCAGTAGTACTTTTTAAACATTTCATTGTGAATCAAAATCAAGGCAGTTGGACCGCCTGCAATTCTATACTCTTTGTATCAAGTTCACGTCCAACTTTATCCAGATATACCCGTCTTGAAACATGATACGATAATCCCCTAATTGCGTTTGATGCCAAGTTAGAGCCAGATAAACAGCCAGCCAGTTTCAGGCCGTCGACGTCACATGGTGGAAAGGCTTGTTTAATAAAACATCTACTGTATTTTACGAACCTGTACTACCAAGTGGTATTCGTTCAAAAAAATTGTAAACTACTGTAGAGAAGGTGTGAGTTTCCACTACCTAACCTAGCCGACCAGTACCAACCAACAACAGTGCAGCAGCGTATTCTATCGCAATCTAAGTAGTAGATTCTCTAGGCCCTAGCTAAATTTACCTTCGATAAAAAACGAATTATTTTAATCGCTAGGTAGCATTCTTCCATTTAACAAAATATTGTTTTAATTTTCATTAAAACGTCTGTATACTTTATGGACCTTTCTGTCCTGTTTTGTAGTTTTTAGATCGCTCAATTGTGTTGTTTACATGCACTTCGCGAAAATCTGGCTTCGCGGTGTCAAATAAGTTGCTGAATTCCACACACTTTTTTATTTCGTCATCGTAAACATGTGCGCTCATTTTAACGACTGGCGTTGGTGGTAGTTCGTTGAAACTGAATTAATAGCGACTATTATAGCAGAAATGGAAAAGATTGAATTGTCAATAAATGATTGTTCTATCTCTGGTCTGATTGTTTTTGCAGTTTACTATTTGAAGGTACAGTTTAATCCTTGGATATATCAAATTGGTCAATGTTTTGGTCCCTCAAGGTGGCTACAAATAAGCTCTGCATTATTTTTTTTCTGCCATTAAGGCACTAAACACAGATTCATAGCTTTAAATAAAGCAAACACACAGCTGCATAGTCAACACAAATTTCTTTGTGTGACTGTATAAATTAATACAAAAATATTGTACTGTATTGTACACAACTTTTGGAGAAACAGGGAAATCACCAGTTCATAAACATCACTTAAGGCTCAAAAAAGTTTTTGTAATCTCAAAAGCTCTGATGAGGGCAGTATAATAGAGGCAGTCTATTGGCCCTAATAGCCACACATACAAAAAAGATCTATTAATCAATCAGACGAGTGTTTCTAAAGCTACCTGAGAGTATATTGGCCCCAATGGCCGCCCATACAAAATTAATCAATCAGCCAAGTGTTTCTAATGCTCCTAATCGGAGCTAAAAACAAACCATAAAAAAGCTTGTCATATTGGGTTATGATTAGGCATTTAATTGGTAACCTTCCAAATTCCCAAATCAAATACAATATTCTCCTCCATCCCACAAAAAAAAATTGTGTTGTACATTACCTCCTACAATAACAGTGAAATTACAAAGGTGGTCTCCATTTGCTAGACCATAAGAATAGTTTCCAGTATCACTAGGTCCAGCATTGTGTATGGGTAGAGATGACGTATTACTACTAATCACTTCCTCATCTTTATACCATATACCCACTGTAGTAGATTGTGTGTTGTTCAGTTGGCAATTAAGTTCTTGAGCTCCACCTACAACTACTAATAGTTCTGATATAACTACAGCTGATAAAAAAAATTAAAACATTTTAACATCTTATCAACAACACATCTTATTAATGGTTTGAGACCTTGCAAGTTAATCCTTATTCAGAATGACAGTAATATTTTAAACACTAATTGTTTTAATCATTGTACAATATTGTATGTAAAGTATTTGTCACTTGAACTTTAACCTTAGCAGCTTAATAACTATTTGGAAAGGATTTGAAATGTAAGTGATTTTAATTCTGTTAATTCATTGCACTGCTTCCAATCAGTACCAGCAAATTTGTGAATATTTTTACTCAAAAATATGCACCCAGTGGAAGCGTGTGCCTATTGCCATGTTTACTAAATTATCTGCATGGTGATTCGGTTTGAGAAGTTTGTAATTGTTTAATTCTGCACACAAAGTTTTGGTTTATCTCATTTAAACAAAATCCTCCTATTACTGTATTTAGATCTAGAAGGTGTCCTTCAAAGGACAGTGAAAGACGTTCGTACAGTACTGTGTCTCTGTGACACATGTTAGAGTTTCGAATGCAATTTTGTTTGAGTTCTGAACTCTATTCAATTTCTAATAGGGTGCCCCATACCTTGTTTACATGCTCTTGCAAGGTTAACTGCTAGACGATAACATAGTGTCTATGAGCCGAATCACACTTATTAGGCCGGCCTAGGGCCGGCCCAGGGTCGCCTTAAATTACGGCCGACTCAACTTTATTTCCGTTCACAGTTATTGTTTTAAGTTGTATAAAGTCGGCCCAGGGCCGCCTTACGGACGTTCACACTTCTTCTTTTGGACCGGGTTGATGAATTGCAGGACAGGAAGTTGAGGCGATCGCATTTTGATGGCGGAACGGTAAATCACAACCTAGCATAAACACATGGAATTTGCGCGAAACATGAACCTAATTTCAAAAATTGTCCTTATACTTTTTCGATTTTTTAAGTGGATAGCATTCTGCTTCATGATTATGGCGACGATAATTCTTATAATAACCAAGGCCTATAATTAGCGCAACTAGATTTTACTCTGTGCAAAGCCAGACTCGTGATTTCGAAAGTCCATACCTGTATAATGTTATTGTAAACTGTCTATATTGGCCTATAGCTGTCAATGTTTGGCCACAGACCGGAGACACTGATTGTGAATAAGTAGTATCGAGGTCTATCTATTTGGCAATAATAATTATTTTCATATTAGGTTCATTCACAAACAATTTTTTTATGCTTTTTAGAACCAGCTTCGCTCATAACAAAAACAAACAATTATGTTTTTTTCTGTCCTCGGGGTCACGTGAGTAGCTTCACGAACGTCGACACAAAACGCACGTGGTTGGTGAGGATGACGTTCACAGAAAAAATGATACCGCTATTACAGTGTTATAATTTTAGAATATAAACTTGTTAAACTAATGTGTGCTATAAAAAAACGGGGTTTCTTGAGCTTGTAATAAGCCAATATATTTTTTATCTACTGGAATTCTTTAACTGTAGAAAAGAAAGTCGTCATCTGTCAAACTGCCCATGCGTAAGCTTTGTATCACGTGGTATTCCCCATGCCTACAACTTGGTTTGTGATGATGCTTATGCTTCGCACGGAGGCTGTGAGTAATAATTAGTTAGGCATGGAGACCTTATATAAAAACTTTTATTCAAAAACAATAGTACTTTAACAGTTTCCTTAACAATTTTATTTCTCAATGGTGTTTTTTCGCGCAAGTCAGTTCGAATGAATGTTGTGGTTAGATAAGATGTCAAAATCGAGCAATCAGAGCGAACTTGGACCGGCTGAGGTTCGGCTTACGTTCAGATATAAAGTTGGGTCGGCCCAGGGCCGCATTCTGGGACCTGAGCCGACTCAAAAGTCGGATTAACTTTAGGTCGGCTCAGGGCCAGCTTAATATTTATTTATTGTTCACACTGTTCACACAATTGCCGACCCTGGGCCGACGTAACTCTCAAGTGTGATTGGGCTCTATGCCCCTGACACAAAAATCAAGATATGTGCTGAGTGGGTCTGAATCAAGCAAAGTATTAAATAATTATTAATGATTATACAATTTGGGGTTGGGTCAACCAGCTTAGCTCCAGTGATTTGGCTCACTTTAGTTGACCCCGGTCTCCCCAAATTTCGGTTTTATTTTTGTAACTTTCTGTTTTGCACATTATGTTGTTTGAAAGACCTAATAAATATTATGAAATGAAACAATTAATCAGAACCGAACATCATCAAATGTTCTTAAGCCCCATAAAAATATATTCAAACAATAATAATAGGGTCAAAAATAAACTTTGTGCTGCCACCGACATAAAATCTAAAAAAACTAGGATCAGGTATTTTTTTTTAAATATTTTCTTTTACATTAAACACAAATAAAATTCTCTGACTACCAACTGTTGGTATGGTTGGGCAATGCAACACATTTCTTTTTACAGTACCTAATAATGTTTTCAAGCTATAAATAACATCTCCTTTACCGTGGTCATTGGCTCACTCTCGTGGGAGTAAACTTAATTGTATCTAGAACCACAAGGCTGAATCCATGATTAAGACCAAATGTATTATTAATGGCCTTTTCAAGCACTATTAATTATATTTTGGCTCTGTTTCATATTGTTTCATCAAAATATATATTTTGTCAAAAAAAAAAAAGTCAATCCTAGATTTTTTTTATTAGAATTAAGAACACCAAGTCATCGGATATTCACAGGAGGTTTCAAAGTGATGGGGGGTACATTCTGTATTTCATTAATAAATTAGTATTCTAAAGATGAAGCTACAGTATAATAATACTATGGTTTTACAGTCTCACTAATCTACATAATGAGATGCAATATTTTCCTTAACATGCATACTGCTTCCAAGAAATTTGCTGTGTTCTATTGAAAACCTTATTGAGTAAAAATGAAAAAATGCACAAATTAAAATATATTTTAAAGATATTTTTAATAATTTGCTTTTTTTTTGTAAATTATATTAAATTTTCACATTTCAGGTTCAAATTTTTTAAAGTAATTTTTTTAAATCTATACAATTTATAGTCAGTTTTGTTTCTGCTTTAAAAGTAGCAGATTTTGGTTGGCAGAAGAGGGGATCATGGACGTCCACAAACCTGGTAGCACCGGCAAAAACATTAAAAACCTAAATACACAAATTAGACATTCACTTTAAATACCCTGTGATTTAAATATCTCAGTTTGGCTTTCTACCTTAAGCCTTTCTATATATATATATGCAGGCCTAGTAACCACTATTTTACAGCTTAGCTCAGTCGGTTACTCTGGTGGTAGCCACTGTGTGTGCGCTGAAGCCTGGAGATCTCTAGGTCCCCAGTTCAATTCCCATCGCTGCCTCTCCTTGTATTTCAGCTGGAGTGCTGAAATACAAGTTACACAGCGCACTGTCTTTCGGATGAGACGTTTAAGCCGTTGGTCCCGTGTGCACTATTGCCCATGTACACGCTAAGGAAAAGAGTATGGGATTGTCTTCCGGAGTACTGCCCAATCACCACCGGAAGGACCCCACAGGAATTAAGCCTTCTTCTAGACTTTCGTAGGCTATCCTTGGTGTTTACACCGAATAAATCCAATCCAATCCAATCACTACTACTTTCTTCTTATTAATTAAGAATGGCCATCAATTATGATTAAGCATTGGTGCTTCCTTTTGTTATACTTAAATCAGATAACAGACTAGGAACTGCCTTGCTTCCCAGGGGCATATTTCGTGTCGTGAAAACGAACTGTCATGCCATGCCATGGAGATTACAATAAATTGATTATACAGTAGAACCTCGATTTTACGTACGGTACGGGACCGGAGGGCGTACGTAAATCGGGGATTCGTAAAATAGAGGTTGGGTTAAATTTGTGGTAACCTTTGACCTAATACGTACATAACGCTCAATATACGTATGTATGAACGAACAATGTTACCTAGCTAGGCTAGACCAAGCCTCTAGGCCTACGAATAAAACCATGTGTTTAGTGTTTTTATTCATCAATTTACGATGTCATAATAAAGTGTTCAAATAAAACCGTGTGTCTAGTGTATTAATTCATCACTTTATATCTTCTATTTAACTAAAGAACATGAAAATATTGTAAGATTACCTATACGACAAAGGTATAACTTGAGAATTCCCCTTCATGCCTATTTTAAACAACAGAGCTGTGGCGTTGTCTGGGCCTGTTGAGACAAACTAAACCCATGTGCACTGCACTGGGTGAGCCAACCAATTAGCGTTCGTGTACGTGAAACAGAAACCATGTGCACTGCACTGGGCGAGCCAACCAATTAGCGTTCGTGTACGAAACTATGCCTACTCAGCTTCGGGTGGAAAATTTGACCAGACAAGTGTTTCCATGGTTTGCCACACGAAGCTAAGGAGGAAAGCAATTATTTTGAGCACCATCGGTAGTTGATCATCTCACTCAGTTCATGTGGTTTGAGATTATAACAACCCGGTATTAGACTCAATCAACGTTGCTGTGAAAATACGTAGCATTATGGTTTGTTTATTGTTATAGTTTATTGTTATAGTCTTTTTACTTATGGTTGCTCTGAAAAGGGCCGTTTGTTTTGAACATTTTCGGGGTTTTTGATAACGTCGTCGAAACGAGGCGTAGTAAAACAGAGGGTTCGTATAACTAGGGTACGTAAAAACGAGGTTCTACTGTAAATGACACGACAGAATATTAAATAAAATTTAAGTTAAACCTTCCATCAGAAAAAACTCAAAGCATGATTCGGGTGATACTTTTCAGTAGCCTGGCGTTTTAAAAAACTTGAGTGCTATTTTATTTTATTTATTTTATTTATTTCCAGGCAAGACAATACAGTACAATAGATAAGAGAAACAAATGACAAAAAAAAACAAAAAGCCTGAGGATTACCTAAAAATGAACTTAATCACTATCTAAAGGCTCTCCAAAACATTAAAAAGACAAACATTAAAATCTGAAAAATTCACAATTCATATATGTACAATATAAAAAATTAATAATAAATATTACAA